ATTTCATCTCTTAACTACATTTGCCTTATATTAAGTTTGTGTCAATGTAATGCAAAAAACCTCTTTAACCAATCACTTATAAACTTGCAAAAATTTTCCTCAGAGTAAATCATTTCCAGTGGTGTCGGACATATGAGCTATCATCCTCTCTCAACAAGACGTTGTTAAGTTTGGAATCTGGCTGAAATAAAATTAAAAACGTGAAGTGAACATTCTTCTTGCTTTCTTTGCGACGAAAAAACATAAAAAAAGTTCATAATTATATTATATATAAATAGCCGAACCTTCTTTTGTTGAAGAAAATAAAATTTCGATATTATATAGTATTAGATGGGTTCGGAAAATTTTCATATTTTACAGAGAATGTATTGTAATAAATAAGTTATTTCTGTGGTACTGAGTACAGTACGGATGTTGTATATATGAATGATATTTAGTTTATTTTTATTATTCTGTCTATGGAGATATTAATCTCGTCTATTCTTTCCATATTTATATTTGAATGTATGTATAAAAATTTTTTTTTTGTATTTTTATAAAATCATTCTTGAACTTAGTTTGGTAGGAAAAATTTTGGGAATAATATTTTGTATTAGACGTTCAGTGTGTTAGTGCATTGTTTTGTATATTTCTTTTTTTAGTTGTTTTTTGTATAATAGGTGTGGGGTCATTAGAAAGTGAATGGCGCTTAAGATTATCGATATGGTTGCTAAATATATAATAAGTTGCAGTTGAGACGCATGGTCGTTTATTTCGACGTTGTTAACGACGTTGGCATTGGGATTGTTGATTTTGGCTTGTTTGGCTCCCATTATAAGTGGAAATTTGCAGGAACGATTGTGCTGGGCGGGATCAGGGCTTGGTATTTGAGAAAAAATAGTGCCTCAGCGGTTGAAAATTTTTGGTTGCCTTAGTAATTATGATGTTCTGGTGCGATAATGGGCAGGATCAGATCAGGGTCGCCATGTAAAAAAATTGGCGATTCCCTAATAAAATTGAAGAGCTGGCAGGATCGTGTTGGGCAGGGTCGTGTTGGGCAGGATCGCCATGTAACAAAAAAGTTATTTCTGTGGTACTGAGTACAGTACGGATGTTGTATATATGAATGATATTTAGTTTATTTTTATTATTCGGTGTACCGCGGTTTAGCCCTATGCTGCTCGGCTTCTGTGCGCCAAGTCTAACCGTCTCATGGAGTGCCAATGAAGCTCGGCAAGAGACGTTCCCTAACTTTGAACTTGGGCGGATTTAACGCCTTGTATTTTCAGCGAGTTAAACGCTTGATTGAATTGTTTGATAGCAATTAATTTTATTCAGTTCTTACCTGGCTATTCATACACAAATTATTACACTAAATTATTCTAACGTAAACAGATAGTAATTGTTTTGATTAGGGCGCCTGGCATCATATTGCATTACGAAATGCAATACCCAGCCAGTTGAAGTGCGACAAAATTTTTATTTTACTTTTTTTGTTACAGAATTATGCAAATTTAGCATAATTCTGTCGCACTTTAAAGTGCATGCATACGACGGTATGCGATCACACTACAAATTATTCCTGAATGTTTCATTCCTTTTTAATTGTTCGTGTAGACTTTTAGTTGTAACTATTATTTGTTTTAAATGTTAGTTTTGATAAATAGAAACACTTGTAAAGGTTTTTTTTGTCCAATGTTTCAATTTTGCTAAGAAAATCATCAAATTTATAGGCTGAATACATACGATGTCCCCAATGCTGTAAACGTTTTATTATCTCATCTAAATCTTGCTTTTCATAGCCTTTACCTTTGTATCCGATGTTATGGAAATAATCCTCTATAGTATGTATGCCTCTAGGACCACTCAAGGTTTCAACGGTTAATCGTAATCTCGGATTACATACAAGGCGTTGTTTCCGTTCAAGTTTAACACCATCGGGATTTTCATCTTTTGTATCAAATAATTGTGTTTCATCTTCATTTTCTCCAGGCAAATCATAATTACGCAAGTCATCATTTAGGAAATCATTGACGGCATCTTCACCACCGAATAAAGACATTTTAATTTTTTGTTTAAATAAAGAAAAATTTTTATTTGTTTAAATTTCCGGACGAAGCAAAGAGATAACAAGCGTTCTTCTCTTGCAGAATGTTTCGGCTCTTTTCAATGATCAATGTGAAAAGAATTTTTTTTGCAAAACTCGTATAAAAGAATGAGCTGTCATCACTCACGTCTGTGCTTATTTTATTGCAACACTGCACAGCCGGTGATGAAATAAACAATAGAAAATAAAAGTTTCATATGTTTCATTTTGAAGCCGCCATACCGAGCGTTGATTTCATATATATTCTCTTGAACTCGCCGTTCCGACCTTTGATTTGTAAACAATTTCATATGTTTTCCTTTGAATCCGCCATACCGACCTTTGATTGCATATGTTTTCTTTTGAATTCGCTATGCCGACCTTTAATTTGTAAACAATTCCATATGTAATTGAATGGAATAATGTTAAACTATAGAATTTTGAATTATGTTATTGAATTGAATAATGTGAAAGTATAGAATTTCGAATTATGTTATTGAATTGAATTATGTGAGAGTATAGAATTTTGAATTATATTATTGAATTTTGAATTGAATTATGTGAAAGTATGGAATTTTGAATTATGTTATTTAAGTGAATTATGTGAGAGTATGGAATTTCGAATTTTGTTATTGAATTTTGAATTTGAATAATGTGAGAGTATGGAATTTTGAATTATGTTATTGAATTGAATTATGTGAAAGTATGGAATTTTGAATAATGTTATTGAATTGAATTATGTGAGCGTATGGAATTTTCATTTATGTTATTGAATTGAATTATGTGAGAGTATGGAATTTTGAATTACGTTATTGAATTAAATTATGTGAGAGTGTGGAATTTTGAATTATGTTATTGAATTTTGAATTTGAATTATGTGAGAGTA